TTTACCATCCAGCTTGACTGATAATCTTGCTGGATAGAGTAGTCTTGGTTTCAGATCTTTCTCTTGCATTACCTTGAATACTTCATGCCATTCCCTTCTGGCCCATAGAGTTTCCAATGAGAAGTCAGATGATAGCCTAATGGGAGCTCCTTTGTAGATAACAGTTGGCTTTTCTCTAGCTTCCTTTAAGATTTTCTGTTTGTCTTGGATTTTTGACATTTTAATTATGATGTGTCTGGGCATGGGCCTCTTTGGATTCTTCTTGCTTGGGATTCTCTGTGCCTCCAGAACCTGTGTGCCTTTTTCCTTGACCAGGTTAAGGAAGTTTTCTGCCATTATTTCATCAAACAGGTTCTCTAACCCCTGCTTACTTTCAACCTTCTCTGGCACGCCTATAATACGAATATTGNGTTTCATGCCATTGTGATCAGAGAAGATGTTTGATATGATTTCAATCTTCTTGAACTTATAGAGACTTGTNGCCTATAATACGAATATTGTTACATTTTATGCTGTCCCACAGTCCCCTTAGACTGCCCTCCTGTTTTTTAATTGTTGTTTTTTTTGTTTGTTTTTGGGTCTCTAATTGAGTGATTTTTTCTACCCTGTCTTTTAATTCACTGATCCGATCCTCAGCTTCTTCTAATCTGCTAGTTATTCCTTCTAATGTATTTTTTATTTCTGTTATGTCATTCTTCATTTGTGACCGGTCATTTTTCATAGTTTCCAAATCATTTTTCATGCTGTTGAGCATCCTTACAATCAGTATTCTAAACTCTATACCTGAGAGGTTGCTTATCTCTGTTTCATTTGGCTCTTTTCTGGAGACTAGTTCTTTCATTTAGGGCTTGTTTTTTGGTCTCCCCATTTTGGCTAAATGTTGGGTAGNCGTTTTTTTATAAATTTAAGTGCTTCTATATTGGGTGCATATATGTTTATCAGGGTAATATCCTGTTGTTGGATTGATCCCTTTAATATTATCTAATGACCTTTCTTGTTTCTCCTTATGGTCTTCATTTTGAAGTCTATTTTGTCTGATATGAGTATTGCTACCCCAGCTTGTTTTTCATTTCCATGTGCATGGAAAATTTTTTTCCATCCCTTCACTCTCAACCTATGTGCATCTTTTGTTCTGAGGTGAGTCTCTTGTAGACAGCATATATTTGGGTCATGTTTTCTTATCCATTTGGCCACCCTATATCTTNCTGAGAGGTTGCTTATCTCTGTTTCATTTGGCTCTTTTCTGGAGACTAGTTCTTTCATTTAGGGCTTGTTTTTTGGTCTCCCCATTTTGGCTAAATGTTGGGTAGATATGCTAGAATTCTAAGTCTTTTTGGGGAGTCTCTGGTACAGGCCAATGTCAGATGCAGTTTGCGACTGGCCCTGAGTATCCTGTTTGGGGCTATCAACAACCTCAGGCTTGAGGTCTCCACTGCTGGGGCTGGGTGCATTTGGACAGGTCCGAAATGCACACCAAAGTCTGCTTTTCTAAGGCCTGGGTCCCAAAACAGATCAGGCAAAAACTCAAAGCACCCTGAGGTCTGCCTCTGCCTGCAGACAGATTGATCTGATTCTCTTAATGAGCCTGAGGCAGTAGAAGCTCCACAGGGTGGGGAAGCTGGTTGTTACCAGTCTCTTAACAAGCCTCAGACTGTAGAAACTCCTCTGGGCAGGGCAAGAGGTTTCCAGCAAGTTGGGGCATTTGCTTCCCCCCTCAGGCAAAAGTCCAAAGTTCGCCTCTCTAGAAAGATGTCCCCCACATTCTGGGGGAATGACTCTCCCCAGACTCTCCCCACTCAGCTCCAGTTCACTCCACTCCCCCTCTGCCAGAGCCCAAGGTGAGTGGCTGCTCACAGAACATTGTACGATGGCTCTTTAAGAGGGTGCCTGCAGTTCCAGCTGCCTCTCCCTGGCAGACAGGAACCGGCTACTTTTCACAGCCAGATGTTATGTGGGCACCTTTCTCAGTTCTGGTGCTCTTGGCTGGGAAGCCCAGCCTGGGATTTAGGCCCCAGAGTCTTCAGTGGGAACCCCCCACAGCTGAGATATCCCTCTGGACCTTCAGCTGCTGCCTGTGGGAGCCCAGCCAGCCCTCTCTCGTCTGCACTTCCCACCAGTCTCTGTGCCATCTCCTCTTTTCCTCCTTGTTTATGAGGGTGCTCTCCAGCTCATCTTCAGTTGTTTTTCAGGATGGTTTTCAGGATGGTTTTTCTATGTTTTAGTTGTAAATCCAGATTAGTCCCGGGAAAGTGTCAGTGTAGCTTCCACTCAAGCCTGTCACCTTGGACCTCCTCTCATTCGTAACTTTTACCCCTCGATGTTTTTTTAGATTCAGCCATGGTGATAACTGGATTTCTACTTTTTCGTGGTTGTATGCCACTGAATGAATATAACTAAGAATTCTCCCCTTGGTGGACATTTAGGATATTTTCAGTTGTTTTAATATTACAAATGAAGTTAAAAAGATGCTTTAAGACGTCCTTGCTAATAAGCCAACCAATGGTGTAAATTTGGAGGTTTAAACTAGGGAAGAGATTCTACTTCTGTTTTAGACTTTTTACATTTTTTCGCCTAATGTTTGGGATCTAACAGTAAATGTACTAATTGGATTTCTATTTACTGAGTTACCTTGGTTATTTTTTCATGACTGATCTTCCTTCTGGAGAAACTTTGAAGCAACTTAAACAGAAAACACTTAAACCAAAATAAAGATAAGTACCATGTTATTTAAGAAAACAGACTAAAAAAAGCTACATCATCTAAGTCTATGGATATATATAGACTTTCTCCCATCCAAGATTACTATCCCCATATTACTATCATATATAAAAATATTTCTATCATATAAAAATGTTACCTTTTAGATGTTAAAAATTAATTTTGAATTGAATTTCAACCTCATTTAAGGAAAATAAAATGTAAGGTTACATACAAAACATTCATTTTAAATTTTGAAAATATTTCTTTTGAACAATAACCAGACAATAAATCTTTAGACTTCAAACAATTACACTTTGAAAACAAGATGTATAGACAGTGATGAATAGCAGAATGACAAGATATTTAGCGAACTAAAAGCAAAATCAGGTGCTGAGAATGAGTTCTGACATTTTAAGATTTATGACAAAATATTTTTAAAAGACAGCTCAACTGTCTTCGTTTCAATCAATGAGGGAGGTCCTCTGAAATGCAACTACTCAATCCCTTTATCAGTGTTTGGACAAATTACTAAAATATCTAGCCCCCTATAGGCTTTACTGTATTTATAAATTGTAGTTTTTGGCCTCTGCCCAGATTCAGATGTTAGAGATTAGCCCCAAAGCTGAGTCCTTATTGAAACAGATTTAGGTAGACTAACCACTGAGTCTTTCCAATTCACATTGCTGTGATCTATTGGATTTCATTGAATGAGACACATGAGGATGCTATAATAAAGACTTTGATAAAGGGTCCCTAGAGTCAAGGTGTATGCTTAGCACATCGTATTTCTCAGTCTGTAGAAGTTCTTATGTAAGTTAAGAAAATATATTCCAATCTCATGTCACACTTAGAACTGGCATCCCTGAATAAGACTGTTTCATGAGGAAATTGAGTGGCCTGTAGCCAAAGGAGGTATTGTTTTTCTTGTCGGCTCTTTGTTTTCATAAAAAGGCTCTCTGGATCTCAGAGTGTATTTGTTTCAAGATAATTCAGTTTGAATTCACTCATGCTTAGACGTCTCCAGAAAAGCCTTCCTTCAAGTTTTGCAGTGTATGTATTATAAGCAACACATACCTGATGGATTTTGAAGTTTCATATGACATCAATTTTAATAATCAGAGCTGGGTTTTAAAAGCCTACATCATTTTGTCACATGGAATCTATAATAAATAGCAATGATGTTTTTAAAATAGTAGGAAAACTTTAATAACAAATCTTTCTTAACACTATTAAGAGGCAAATGCATAGCTATGAATTTTGGGTTGAGGGGATTCAACTTCAAATGAATTTTCCTTTAAATAAGCTTTCTAGCAGTTTAGATATGCTGCCATCAGGTGGTAGTAATATGTCACATCCATGTGGCTCCACAGATGACATTCTGCTTCAGGTCACCAGTTTACCCCACAAAGATATGTAATCATGAATGTACAGGTTTTTATACAAAAAGTAAAATAACATAGTAGAACTATTTCATATCTAAGCAAAGGGTACTTTGAATGAAACTTTAGAAACAGGTATATATTGGAAGATTCCATTGAATATGTTCTCTGTTATTTATTTATTTATTTACTTATTTATTTATTTAGTAAATGAAGAGTTTTATGCCTTCCAAAAAATTAGAAAATATAGAAAAATTAAATTAAAAGCACCACATTTTATCATTCAAAGATATTTGCTAATTAACCTTTTGTTTCATTTCCTTCCAGTCTTTTTTAATATGCAGTTTTTAGTATCCTTTTGTTTTTTGGAGTAGAGTTCAATGGCAGGAAAAGGTATTACCTATATAGTAAGAGTATATATACAGCATATGTCTTTTTCAATTTTTAAAATTAAAAGGTCATGATATCTGCTTTGTGGCTTCCTAATATTCCATTTATTGAAGTTTTTCATAATTTTATGTAGTCATTTACCTATTAGTAGATAATGTGCATTTCTGGTCTTCAGTCCTCAAGAGCATTTTATCTCTGCCTTTCATCCACTGCCTATTCATTATTTCATTGAATCTATACTTGATTTTTAACACAAAAGAATTTCTAATTTATCTCTTGAGCTGCTAGATATCTTGTATTTCTTGTATTGCATTGGAAATGAAACTTCCAGGAAATTTGAACTTTAAGTTTCAATTATGAATGAAAATATGTAGTCTCTTTGTTATTATTTTCATGTCATATGAATGTTTTATAATTTTATAAATTATATGCAACCAGGTACCACATATAAACATTTCAGGGCCTGTGATATTATGAGATGGAGCTATTACCTACTTTATACCAAAATAATTTTTCTTTTCTTTTTTATAGCATAGAACGCTGCATTAAAGAAATACAGTCTGAAGTTAACAAACAATGTCCAGATGTGCAGCTGCAGACAACAACTGAATGTTTTGAATGGTTAAATAACTATAATTATAATTCATCCAAATTACCTTCTATTTCCCATGGAGACTTGATAAAATTTCTCAAAACACTGGTAAGAAAAAATTCTTTGCTTTATAGTGGAGTGGGATGGGTGAACAAGGAATACAATTCATTCAGTTTCTATCTGTAAATATTTATTTTAGTGAACATATTAGCCTGTCATATCTAGGGGTTGGGGGTTGTGTTTTGTTTTGTTTCTATATCCCCAGTGTAATCCAGTGAGCTATTTGTTTTTATTTTTTTCTCTGATTTTTATTGATAAATTGAAGTTGTATGTAAATAGAGATTAAACATAACTCTTTGGTGATTTATAATGTAATGTACACCACAGAGTATATATGTACCACAATTGTTTATCAGAAAAGTTTATATTTATTACATTTTGTGTTCTCTCACTACTCACTTTCTCTGAGCTCATTATTAAGCATAATAAGATCATCATTGATTGTATCTATTAAGTAGACTTGTTTATCATTCCCTTTATTCCCAACCTGCAGGCATGTCCAGTTCTTTTCAATCAAGGCAGCAATTTTATATGAAACCACTGTTAATTGGTGGAGAATTATTACATTTGTCATTTCTTGATAGTGACCACCCTTTATGTTAAATAAGTTTTTGTAGCCTTCAATCAGAACATTTATTTTATTATTCCTGTATTTACAAGGGTGGTTAGCTTGCAAAAACAGCTTCCCAAAGAAACAGCACAAGTGTTAGAAAGCAGTATTTTTGTAGCTATGGTTTTGATTTAATTTAGCGGGAAAGGGGGCACTGTTTTTGTCTAAACATCAAACATTGACTAAGGCAGATGTGGAAAATATCTTGAGGTTGTAGATGGCTTAGGGAGAAAATCAGATGAAAATAGTTTTTGGCTGTTGTTATTATTGCAGATGTCTCTTTAATGTTTACAAAGTAATAAATGGAAGAGAAAGGAAGACTATGTGCCCTGAAGCCTTATTCTTTTAAGAAAATCCTCTCATCCATTATCTCTTGAAGGTGGAGCCTTGAAGAATAAATATGGATATAGTTATTCCTTTAATTTCTATTAAGAGGCATGTGTATTGGATTTCATTAATATTGATGTAATAATGCTTTCTCATTTAATTAAAAGCAAAAGCTTTTAATTATCTTTTAATCTGTCACACGTAAGTCATTCTCTGTTCACTGCAGGGCAAAGGCCGCCTTAGTTTTGCGCAAATTCATTAGACTGATAGGCTTGTTTGAGACCTAGGATTTTTTTTGCATAATTGATCATGTTATTTTGAGGAAAGACCACATTATTAAAACAGATCCAGATTAAAATGACCTTATTATCAAGTTTTTACATGATAAAATTGTCAATCTTGGCAGCATTTTTCATACAACTACTTTTTTTCCACAGAAAATTTTCTACTTATTAATTATCTAGCTGTTTAAATAAGAAACAGAGGTCCTCATTATGGCAATTATCCTAAAGTTATTTTCAAAATTTAAGCAATCATACTAAACACATATTTTAAACCTCTGTAATCTATTATACTTTGCTTGATCAAATATTTACAGTTATTGACTGATTTAAAGAAACCCAAGATTGCAGCACTAATATGACTCACTTGCTTTATAGAATTTACTATAATACTGATGTCCTGAATTCTATCTAAGGTCATTTATTTTACAGAAGTATCAAAAGAACTAAATACATGGAGAAAAGAAGGAAGCTACAGAAAGGCCAATGCACTTTGTGGCTCTGT